TATATATATATATATATATATATATATATATATATATATATATATATATATATATATGTCGTACCTAGTAGCCAGAACGCACTTCTCAGCCTACTATGCAAGGCAAGATTTGCCTAATAAGCCAAGTTTTCATGAATTAATTGTTTTTCGACTACCTAACCTACCTAACCTAACCTAACTTTTTCGGCTACCTAACCAAACCTAACCTATAAAGATAGGTTAGGTTAGGTTAGGTAGGGTTGGTTAGGTTCGGTCATATATCTACGTTAATTTTAACTTCAATAAAAAAAAATTGACCTCATACATAATGAAATGGGTAGCTTTATCATTTCATAAGAAAAAAATTAGAAAAAATATATTAATTCAGGAAAACTTGGCTTATTAGGCAAATCGGGCCTTGAATAGTAGGCCAAAAAGTGAGTTCTGGCTACTAGGTACGACATATATATATATATATATATATATATATATATATATATATATATATATATATATATATATATATATATATATATATATATACAGCACACTTGAGAGGAAGTGCAGTGACTTAATATCTAACATTCATAAAATTCAATGATTTAAGGGGGCCAAGTGCTGTCTGGTGCTTGAGTTATTGATCTAACTGTTGAGTAATTAGGGGTCGTAGATAATTTTGGGTAATAGACCCCTAGGCACAGATACCATAGGTGAGATAAGGATAGAGGAGAGAGTAATAGAGCGTCACCAGGGCAGGGCGAGGTACATAATATCTGAATTTAAAAATAATTGCAACTGTTTTAGAAATTTTTTGCTATATCTAATATATGGCCCTGGAAATTCAGCTTGTTATCGAGGAGAACACCAAGGAATTTACTATCTGCTATGTTAGTAATTTGGCTATCGTTAAATTAAAGCCAAATCATCTTAGGTTAATTTGAAATGTGCATTTATTGCCAAATAAAATATAGAAAATTCCCCTTATAACCCAATCCGCCAATTGATTTACGACTATGACTGTAATTATTGCACGTGAAAAAAAGGGGCAAAGAGTCACTTATCAGTGCCCAAGCGTCCTTTGCGCTCGGTCTAGGGAACATCTGAGAAAAATATAATTCGCTTCCCCGTCTCGGGAGGATGGTTGCACTCTCCATCACACTAATAACTGGACACCCATCTATCTTCCAACGACAGGTGTGGGGCGGCCCAGACGGCCTAGCTGTGTCTGTTAAGATGCGCCTCGCCACACAAGGTGACCTTCAACGTCTTGTCTGGCAGAACTTGGGTCTTGCAACCTGACCTTGCAAGCCAGGTGGACCAGAAGCACCGTCCTGGTGGACCAGAAGCACCGTCCTGGTGGACCAGAAGCACCGTCCTGGTGGACCACAACACCGTCCTGGTGGACCACAAGCACCGTCCTGGTGGACCAGAAGCACCGTCCTGGTGGACCACAACACCGTCCTGGTGGACCACAAGCACCGTCCTGGTGGACCACAACACCGTCCTGGTGGACCACAAGCACTGCGTCACTCGAGGTCTCGCCAATATTGATCCAATCTCTACTGTTTTTAAAGTGATTGATATTGCACATCTGTTGGTCTGGTGTGTGTGTCCCTCACACATCTGTTGGCCTGGTGTGTGTCCCTCACACATCTGTTGGCCTGGTGTGTGTCCCTCACACATCTGTTGGCCTGGTGTGTGTCCCTCACACAGCTGTTGGCCTGGTGTGTGTCCCTCACACAGCTGTTGGCCTGGTGTGTGTCCCTCACACAGCTGTTGGCCTGGTGTGTGTCCCTCACACAGCTGTTGGCCTGGTGTGTCCCTCACACAGCTGTTGGCCTGGTGTGTGTCCCTCACACAGCTGTTGGCCTGGTGTGTGTCCCTCACACATCTGTTGGTCTGGTGTGTCCCTCACACATCTGTTGGCCTGGTGTGTCCCTCACACAGCTGTTGGCCTGGTGTGTGTCCCTCACACAGCTGTTGGCCTGGTGTGTGTCCCTCACACAGCTGTTGGCCTGGTGTGTCCCTCACACAGCTGTTGGCCTGGTGTGTGTCCCTCACACAGCTGTTGGCCTGGTGTGTGTCTCTCACACATCTGTTGGCCTGGTGTGTGTCCCTCACACAGCTGTTGGCCTGGTGTGTGTCCCTCACACATCTGTTGGCCTGGTGTGTGTCCCTCACACAGCTGTTGGCCTGGTGTGTGTCCCTCACACAGCTGTTGGCCTGTGTGTCCCTCACACAGCTGTTGGCCTGGTGTGTCCCTCACACAGCTGTTGGGCTGGTGTGTGTCCCTCACACAGGTGTTGGCCTGGTGTGTGTCCCTCACACAGGCGTTGGCCTGGTGTGTCCATCGCTACAGCTGGTGGTGGACAAGTGAATGATAATCAGTTACTCAGTGAGAACATCAAGATAGAAGGTGAGAAAATGCAGAACGCCTACCAGGGTAGGCTGGTGAGGGCAGCGGCAGCAAGCACAGCGTACGTCAGAGTACCTGGTGAGCGCAGCGGGCAGCAAGCACAGCGTGCGTCAGACTATCTGGTGATGGCAGCGGGTAGCAAGCACAGTGAACGTCAGACTATCTAGTGAGGGCAACGGGCAGGAAGCACAGCGTGCGTCAGACTATCTGGCGATGGCAGCGGGTAGCAAGCACAGTGTACGTCAGACTACCTGGTGAGGGCAGCGGCAGCAAGCACATCGTACGTCAGACTACCTGGTGAGGGCAGCGGCAGCAAGCACATCGTACGTCAGACTACCTGGTGAGGGCAGCGGCAGCAAGCACATCGTACGTCAGACAACCTGGTGAGGGCAGCGGCAAGCAAGCACAGCGTACGTCAGACTACCTGGTGAGGGCAGCGGCCAGCAAGCACAACGTCCGCTAGGCTGCCAGTGCTGCCTTCACCATACACTGGACATAGTAAATGTATAACTGTATTAACGCAGTAATAACTATGATCTATAATATGGAGGGGAGGTGGGAGGTCTTATAACCAGTGTCATTAACGTATACAGGCCGGCCGTGCTTATCATACACTATACAATCTCTACCCAAAATTATAATGGTGGCATGTATATACAAGCCGATTTTATTTAAAATGCTATAAACCCTCTTGTAACTCTTGAACTCTTGAGAATGTGTATATATATATATATATATATATATATATATATATATATATATATATATATATATATATATATATATATATATATATATATATATATATATATATAATGTGTCTGTGTGTATATAAGAGGTTATAGGATATTGAACGCTAACAGCTGCCATAATCGATTCGTGGGTGTTTAGCGTGTCGTAATATATGGTTGGTCACAATAAATCCCGTATTAATAACATGGCCACAGCGTCCTGCCATATCGAACCATCCAGTCAGTTCAAACACCTGCCTGCCATTACAACAACACACATGTTTTAGTATTAATTAAAGTACTTTTATTACCATAACGGTCGTTCCCACACACACAATACATACAAACTGTGTCCCAGAGCCCACCTACCATAAGGAGCGGGCGGGAGATGGGTGGATACATGTAGCTAGCAGGAGCATACTAACGGGTATTGGTATGGTGAATTTGAAAATGGTGGTGGTGTATGGTGACATGAGTGGTGTATTGTGACGTATGATGTATATGGTGACATGTGAGGTTTATGGTGACGTGTGGCGTATGGTTCATCACCATACACACATCACCATACACGTGTGGTGTATGGTGATGTGTGGTGTATGGTGACATCTGTGGTGTGTATGGCGTATGTTTACGTGTGGTGTATGGTGATGTGTGGTGGCATCTGTGGTGTGTATGGCGCATGGTTACGTGTGGTGCATAATGTTTGTATGGTGACCGTGTGGCGTATGGTGACGTGTGGTGTATGTATGGTGATCGTGTGTATAGCTTATGGTGACATGTGGTGTATGTGTGTGTATGGTGACCGTGTGGGATATGGTGATGTGTATGGTGGCATGTATAGTGTATGTGCGAGTCGTGACATGTAGTGTATGATGTGTATATGGTGATATGTGGTCATGTGTTTATGGTGAAATGTACTGTATGATGTGTGTATGGTGAAATGTACTGTATGATGTGTGTATGGTGAAATGTAGTGTATGTGTGTATGGTGAAATGTACTGTATGATGTGTATGGTGAAATGTAGTGTATGTGTGTATGGTGAAATGTAGTGTATGATGTGTGTATGGTGAAATGTACTGTATGATGTGTATGGTGAAATGTATGTAGTGTATGATGTGTGTATGGTTAAATGTAGTGTATGATGTATGTATAGTGAAATGTGTATGATGTGTGTATGGTGAAATGTAGTTAATGATGTGTGTATGGTGACATGTAGTGTATATGTGTATGGTGACGTGGTGTATTTGTGTATGGTGACGTGGTGTATTTGTGTATGATGACATGTGGTGTATGATGTATAGTGACATGTGGTGTATGTGTATATGGTGACATGTGGTGTGTGTATGGTGAAATGTGTATGATGTGTTTATGGTAACGTGGTGTATGTGTGTATGGTGACGTGTGGTGTTTATGGCTTATGGTAACATGTGGTGTACGTGTGTATAGTGACATGTGATGAATGTGTGTATGTTGACATGTGGTGTATGATGTGTGTATGGTGACATGTGGTATATGTTTTTGACGCCTGTGACATGTGTATGACGTATGTATGGTGACGTGGTGTATGACATTTGTATGGTAACATGTATGACGTGTGTATGGTGACATGCATGTCGTGTGTATGGTGACATGTATGTCGTGTGTATGGTGACATATATGACGCATATATGGTGACATGTGGGCCAGCGGCCGCGTGTGGCAGTTGCTGCCTCACCTGATGACGCACTAACCCCACCATTACCAACACCCGCCATATACTCATTTAATGTCTCTTATTTCCCCCTCACGGCTTGGCCGCTGGTCAATGTGTCGTGGAGGGTGAGGATGAGTGCCTAGGCCGCGGTGTGTGAGGGTGTATGAGAGGGCGTGAGGGGGCGTGTGAGGGGCGCGGGGGCAATAGTGAAGAGAGAGGTGGTATTGCCGCACGTGGCAGGCCAGGGAGGAGGAGGCGGCGGCGGCAAGAGTGGCGCCACTCTCCCTCCCCCATATTATATCCCGTTCCTCTCCCTCTACCTTCCACACGTGGCACCTCCCGCCCCTGGTTTTACCTCTGGCCCGCGCATGTGGAGGCTCCGGCAGCGCCCCCCAGCAGCCCGGTGGCTCGTAGGAGTGTCAGGCATGGGTGGCGTGACACACCTGCTGCTGCAGGAGGCAGAGTGTCACACACAACTGTCACGGCAATCAATGGAGGAAGGTGGCTGCTGCCTGCAGTAGTGCTTGGGTCACCACCAGCCTCCCCCTCTCACGCCCAGTTGTGTTTGAACCTCCTCCTCCCGCCTCGCTCACCCGGGGACATCAACCCCCCCCACGTTATCCATGGAGATACATTCGGCGTGTCGAGTGACTGATGTATACTAGTGCGTATATATGTATACATATACGCAAGCAGCATAAGAGTGGGTGCATGAACTCTGACCGTTGAGGCAGTGGAGGCGGCCGTGTGTGTGTCCCTCGTTACACCGGGGATATAACCAACTTAACGAACTTAGTAATAATCGCCATAGTTTTGGCTTTCCCGCAAAATAGATGTGAAAACATGCGAATATATAGTATGGCGTTGCTTGCGGCGGCGGCGGCGGCGGCCACTTTCTAATGTCCAGTGAGTGACACGTGCCATTTTGAGTGTGCAGGTGGTTTGTTTGGCCCCCCAGCAGGAGTGAGAGGGCCAGGCCTGCAGGAGAGGCAGTGAGAGGCCCCAGCAGCAGGGCGAGGCAGCAGCAGCAGCAGCAGCAACGCAGTATTGGAACATGTTGATGTTTGTGACGTAGATAGTGTATCTGTAAACAAAATGGCCAAGTTATCTGGCGAGGAGAGGGCACTCTTCCCTCTCAGTGACATTGAGGCCGTCGTCAACCTCTTCAGGCTCCACCTGCAGAAGAACAGAGAGCCGAACTTGGCTATATTATCCATAATCGTGGGCCATATTGAGAACACCCTGACGTGCTCCCGGGGCGTGAGCGAGCCTCCCCTGGGCGGCGACGACGACCACTGCAGGTTCGCTGACAACCACAGAATACTGCCCGTGGTGGAGTACGAGACGGTGGAGGCCCTCCACCACAGGTTCCTGGCCATCATCAAGGCTCACGTGGACGTGACGGCCTTTGGCACCCCGAGATACGCCACCAGGGAGCTGGTGAAGCGTATATCAGACGTGGTGTGGTGTACGCTCTCCAGCAGTTACTACAAGGACAGGGCTCACCTGCAGTCCATCTACAGCTACATGACAGGTCTGTACCGAGCCTGTATCTCTACAGTACTACCTCTCTGGGTGCTTGGGGGGCTGCTTTCAGCTCTCTCCTCTCTGTTTTATGATTCCTGTTACTGGTCGATGTTGTTTGGTAAAGTTAGTATGTTAAAAATGGAAGTTTTGGGACACCACTTTATTATTTAGAATATCTGAGCAGAAATTTCATGTGGAACGGTGCCACTATGAATGCATTAAACTTTCGTATTTGCTCGACATTATCAGTAAATGTGACATTGTAGGTTTAAGTGTAATCAAAAATATCTGTATTTCTTCAAAACATTTCCCGTTTAAAAAATGATTATTGATGACAAAAGTATTTTTATTAATAATTTTATTAGGATGGTTACTCTAGGAATGTGCATTAACATTATCTATCACAGCTTATACCAGAGGAAAAGATGGCTGTGTTGGGGGAGTTGGTCTATGTAACTTATACTATATTTTAACCTTGATGAGAAAACAAAAATTTTTGTTTTAAGTTATAACTTTTGTATAGAGTATTGTATGAATAACTTCTATTAAATTATTTGTCAGTATATGAATGGCATTTATTTGTTTATGCCTGGTTACCTCCGTTGGACTCGATTATTTTAAGAAATATACATTACCAGTAGTATAACAATGTGGATAATGCCAAAAAAACTGAAGTATGTACAGGTATTTGATAATCTCAAATAATTACATAATTATCCAAAATAAAGATTTTAAATAATGATTTACAATTATTTCTCTGTATTCGCTCCACTCTGTCGCCTATAGTTTCTACCTACTTTTTTGTTCGTCTTTAAAACTCGATTAATTATTGCATATTGTAAATACTGTAATATATTAGAAATACTACAGTATAATTAATAAGTTCTTAAAATACAGCATACAGTACTGTATAAATTACCTTTGAGATACAGTATATGCTTAAAGTGTATACTGTATAATTTTCTATTCTCATCGTTTGGTAACCTGAACAACACATTAAAATTTCACCATATAATCCCTTGATATTCTCCTGATAATTGCATATTTTTTCCAATAGCACAGCATGTTACATTTTAAAATATAAATTTATAAGTTTGAAATACAGTGGAACCTCGAGTGACGAGCGACTCCAGTTACGAGCATTTCGAGTAACGAGCGAGCCACTCGCAGAAAATGTCTCGATTAACGAGCTTTCGCTAGATTAACGAGCAAAGCACATGGTGCTTCTTAGCGTTCCCACTGGTTCTCGGACGCCTCCGATGACAGGGTTGTTTCGCAAGACGAGCGTTTCACATGATGAGCTCTGTGCCGGAATGGATTAAATTTGTTAATCGAGACGCCACTGTATTATTAGATTTTCTTTTTAAGTGCTATTAAATCTTTTATGGATGATATTGGCATTTTCTGTAAATGTTAGCAGTAACCATTCAAAACTGGATGGAGTTCTAACTGTTGTCTGAGCACAGTTGCCAAAGGTAACTTTACAGTAAATAATAAAATACTGTACTACACAATGTGTGCAGAGTATGGGATGTGTCTGCATAACATGGGATGTGACTGCATAACATGGGATGTGTCTGCATAGCATGGGATGTGTCTGCATAGCATGGGATGTGTCTGCATAACATGGGATGTGTGTGTGCATAACATGGGATGTGTCTGCATAGCATGGGATGTATCTACATAGCATGGGATGTGTCTGCATAGCATGGGATATGTCTGCATAGCATGGGATATGTCTGCATAACATGGGATGTTGCTGCATAATGTTTGATGTGTGCATAACATGTAATGTGTCTGCGTAATATACAGTGTGTTTGCATAACGTTTTACTGGTTATCTGTACTTCACTGGTACAGTATTAGAAAATTGATGACCAGATACAATAAATTTTTGGGTTGTTACCAGATAATTTTTTATGATTTTGCACTGATTTATTGTTGATTTTATTTTAACTTGGGTCTCCAGTGGGAAATATTTATTTTATCATATATATCATATTCCCCCAAGGACTCTCAAACTGTTGAAAATCCAATGAACGCTCTCCAGCAAAAATACTGCATTGATTACAGGATTAAAATCAACACTGCTGTAACAATGATACTTTTCAATTAATTAGTGTTTGTTGAGAGCCCCAGAATGCAAATCTGCCAGCAGAACCTGAATTTTGCATATCAGTACAGGTATCTGTAATACAACCCATCCTCCTAAAGTGATGGTACGTACCTATAGCATCTATATATTTGGTTGAGCATACAAAAAAGACTGTTGCAGCCAAAACTGTTCACATTTGGTATAACAGTATTTGTATTGTAGAGGGCACGGAAAACTTAAAATCAATCTTAAACATTCCTAGGCCTAGTATAGCACACACATACATATTAGGTGTAGAGTAGCGTATGAGGCCTATAATTGCTTGAACTGGTTGTTAGATTCTTTAGTTACATTTCAATAATACAAAATGAGAACTCTTTTTGGTCCATCAGTCCACTTTTGCATCTTTAACTAAATAGTTGCTATTGTTATTGGATGGGCTACTGTAATAGTACTTGGTGGTGCTCAGTTCAACCCCAAAAAGTTGCAGTAATAGAGTTAGGAGCCCACTAGAGTTAGGAGCCCCCAGAAAGTAAATCTGCCATCACAACATGTATTTTGCTTGTCAGTATCTAAAATATTATGAATAACTGAAAAACTAAAAAAACAAAAAAAAAAAAAATTTAGACTATGGGAATTGCCATGGAAGCAGACACCACTTAAATGGGGGTAATGGGACTGACCCTTGATCCACCTATGACAGTCTTTTGGTCCCCACCAGTCACTCTGCAAAGTTTAATGAAGCTAGTCCCAAGTGTCTGGCCTCTGAACTTGGACAACCAAGCATGCTTTTCTGAAGGGGGCTGAATGGTGGTTCCCTGAACTTAGCTCACCAAGTTAGCTCCATACAGATGAGTTACATCAACCTTAGGAGTCCTGAACGACTAACTGGGGACCAGAGCTAGAATCTGGCCCCCTCCACCTCCCCACACAGAGGCACAGGAAGCAGGGGATTGTTATGAACACACAAGCCAAGGAAATATCCAGAAAGTAAGTGAAACAATACAGACAACTGCAAGGTTCAGAGAGAAAAAGTATTGAAGCAGCAAACAACTCTGCAAATAATTCCCTCAGTTGCTAAATCGAATATTCCCTAGTTATGGCTGGCCACCAACAGGTGGCAGCACCACCTGGAGCACTAGGCTTCCACATCTTAAGACCCTCAGTGCTGTTGCTGTTTTCCTTCAAGTGTGGATCCCCTTGAGTTGCCAGCTTTAGTGAGTCCCAATTTTTCTGAGATAAGAGTGGTATCTGGTGATACCAAGATAAGTGTGGTGATAAATATCCCCTTTGGGGGGATATTTACTTTCATATCATTCCTAAATTTGGAACTTGCTTCACAAGCGTGTGTTTCTAGTCTTACTTGTTGTGTAGACTTTGTTCTTCCTTGGTGGCTCTGCCTCTTTCAGCAGATTGGTCCAGTGACGTATATAGCTGGTTTGATGTTCTCCACTGATCCAGGTGTCTAGACTTTTTTTGACGCATGTCTATCACCCTCTTTATGGTGTGTGGGTGGCAGAGTTGCAAGTTTCCCACCTGTTTCTTCCATTGCAATGACAGTATAAAGATTCTTGGAGCTCCTTTTGTTTCCTTATCTCTTTCTGTCATGTTGCCTGTGTATGTTCTGGTTTTTCCTTTTTTCGCTTCATTGTTGTCAATCGGCATCTTATGCCCAATACTCGCAAAACTCCCAATACAATATTGTTCGATTTTGGCAGTACCTCACATGTTGGTGTTTGGCACTGTCTCATAAGTTGCCTCGTGTTTTATTTCATCTCTGGCTGGCTCATGCTGCTTCTGAGCCATTTTGGTCTCTTAAAAGGGTGGTGGTAATTCTCTCCGCCCATCAGTTCTTGGTTGCTCCTTCAGTCTGTGACAAGTTATTCAAAGCTCTTGTTTTCTTGGCCCTAGCTTCTGGTTGTCGGGTGGTGGAGCTTCATACTTTCCTCCAGAAGCGTGGGTTTTGTTCTTTCAGCTCTGGTGGGGTTTATTCTTCTGGCTTTGGTGGGCAGTTAGAATATGTTTATAGCCATTTACCATTTACAGCCTTCTCTTTTCTGGTGAAAAATGAGATGGTTAGCTTCTGAAGGGATCCTTTGGTTGTTGATGCTTGGTTTGACCAGCCAGGGTGCATTATTTGTTGTGTATAATTATTTTTATATTTTTATTTATATATACTTTATACAAGAGTTCTTACATTCTTGTACAGCCACTAGCACGCGTAGTATTTCGGGCAAGTCCTTAATCCTATGTTCCCCAGAATATGACCTGCCAAATCGTTTAACAACCAGGTACCCATTTTACTGTTGGGTTAAACAGAGGCTACAGATAAGGATTTGCTCCCAGTAAATCTTCCCCGGCCAGGATACGAACCCAGGACAGAGTGCTCACAAAACGCCAGGCGAGCGTCTCGCCATTACGCCATGGGGACTGCTTTAGTCTCCGTGGACTGATTATGGCTGTTGGTTGCTACCTGTGTACCACCTGTTCTGCTTCGGTTGACACGTTTGTTGACCCTGTTTCATTGTTCCCTGTTACAGAGCCTGTTTGTCCCCAGTTGTTTGCAGTGTCACTGTTTAGCCAGTCTGCGGTGTACCCTTGGGCCCATCATGTTCACAGCTTTTTGGCTTACCTGCAGTGTTCTCTAATATATAATGGGCTAATGTTAGGGTTCAGGAGTTTTGAAGGCCTAACAGGTAACTGGCTGCATGTTATCTGGTTACTGTCCCTGGTGTCCCTGTCAGGCTTGTGTTGCCGAGTCAGGTTCCCCGTCCTGAACTCTCGATTTTGAAATTTTACTTTTCTCTCCACCTCCCTGGTTTATTCCTTGTTTTCCCTCTGCTTAGTTATTATCTTCAGGGAGCCACTGTTTGGCCCTACCAGAAAACCAGCATTGAATGTAATGAAACTTCT